ATTCTACAAAAGAGTAAAAGTAAATTTATTTCAATTCATGTTTTAGACATGCAGTATAATGTCTGCGTTATCCATCTAAAGACATGCTTAATTATTCATGTATTTCATATATTACAAATATTTAGTACGTAATTATAATCCATGAACACTTATTTTATTTATTTTGAGTATTTATTTTCCAAACACAAGATTAGATAATTCAAAATGTTAGGAAAATTACTTTTAATAAATGAAGTAAAAAACCACAGAGTAATATGGTTTAACATGAAGAAAAGCAATCTCTTTCACAATGAGCTGCGATGGCCGAGTGGTTAAGGCGTTGGACTTGAAATCCAATGGGGATTCCCCACGTAGGTTCAAATCCTGCTTGCAGCGAGATAAAGTAACTTGCAGTATTTTTTGTTTCTATTACTGGTATTTAGTTTTGTTAAAGCCCCCTATTATCATCATACTCCACAATGAGAAATATTTTAAATTTGCGTTTGATTATTGTTTATTTTTTCCTCAAATATGTGTATGTATATTGAGTTACATTATTTTAATAATTTATTTATTACAATAAAATAAAATAGAAAGAAAAAGGTTGTGAAAATAATAGTCTAAATGTTAAAAACATAGAAAGCGCGAAGCATTGTTGGTAACACTAATATCTAAGCTAGAATCTGGACTTTTTGACAAAATTTAATTTAAAGATATTTCATTGTAGATGTCATGTTGGTAACTTCTAAACTTTAATTTGTTAATTACATGGGAACGAATAAAATTTTACTTAAAAAAATGTATTGAATATTATAGTTGCAATACAATAGTATTAAAAATATGGAAAAATGGAAATATTAATTCTTAAGTAGCAAACAGTTTTCTTCCACTTTTTAAGTAATATTGGTTATTGCTTTTGTTTGACATTTATTGAAAAACAAGATTGAATAAGACGAAGTGACCGAGTGGTTAAGGTGATGGACTGCTAATCCATTGTGCTCTGCACACGTGGGTTCGAATCCCATCTTTGTCGAAATGGTTGTTGATTAATATTCCATTTTTCTTTTAATATTTGTTTCAGTTACTTTTTACTGTTTTAAAGTAAATTATTTTATTTTGATATTCAAGCTAAAATGGATTACTACTTTCAACTTAATTTAAACGTGATCAATATTTAGAAAAATTTAAGCTGTATCTACCGACATAAAACTTTTCCTTATAAAATATGGTAAAGTGGAAAATATTATTAAACAATAGATTCTTAAATTGATTTTGTAGTCAACTTGCGATATAATCAGCCGAAATAGCTCAGTAGGGAGAGCGTCAGACTGAAGATCTGAAGGTCCCTGGTTCAAATCCGGGTTTCGGCATCGGTTCAAGATTCGCATTTCTTCTTTACTTCTTTGATCAAATTGTATAAATTAACTGATTTTTAAATTGTGAAAGGGGGGACTAAGTTTTTTATTTGATAAAAGCTTAAACCACGTAATCATGAAAAACAAAACTTATGTTAATCTTCCTCCTCATTTTCATCATTGAAATTTTCTTAATATTTATAAGCAAAAATAATAAGATGGACTGATTTACAAATTCTACAAAAGAGTAAAAGTAAATTTATTTCAATTCATGTTTTAGACATGCAGTATAATGTCTGCGTTATCCATCTAAAGACATGCTTAATTATTCATGTATTTCATATATTACAAATATTTAGTACGTAATTATAATCCATGAACACTTATTTTATTTATTTTGAGTATTTATTTTCCAAACACAAGATTAGATAATTCAAAATGTTAGGAAAATTACTTTTAATAAATGAAGTAAAAAACCACAGAGTAATATGGTTTAACATGAAGAAAAGCAATCTCTTTCACAATGAGCTGCGATGGCCGAGTGGTTAAGGCGTTGGACTTGAAATCCAATGGGGATTCCCCACGTAGGTTCAAATCCTGCTTGCAGCGAGATAAAGTAACTTGCAGTATTTTTTGTTTCTATTACTGGTATTTAGTTTTGTTAAAGCCCCCTATTATCATCATACTCCACAATGAGAAATATTTTAAATTTGCGTTTGATTATTGTTTATTTTTTTCTCAAATATGTGTATGTATATTGAGTTACATTATTTTAATAATTTATTTATTACAATAAAATAAAATAGAAAGAAAAAGGTTGTGAAAATAATAGTCTAAATGTTAAAAACATAGAAAGCGCGAAGCATTGTTGGTAACACTAATATCTAAGCTAGAATCTGGACTTTTTGACAAAATTTAATTTAAAGATATTTCATTGTAGATGTCATGTTGGTAACTTCTAAACTTTAATTTGTTAATTACATGGGAACGAATAAAATTTCACTTAAAAAAATGTATTGAATATTATAGTTGCAATACAATAGTATTAAAAATATGGAAAAAATGGAAATATTAATTTTTAAGTAGCAAACAGTTTTCTTCCACTTTTTTTTAAGTAGTATTGATTATTGCTTTTGTTTGACATTTATTGAAAAAACAAGATTGCAATAAGACGAAGTGACCGAGTGGTTAAGGTGATGGACTGCTAATCCATTGTGCTCTGCACACGTGGGTTCGAATCCCATCTTTGTCGAATTCGTTGTTGATTAATATTCCATTTTTCTTTTAATATTTGTTTCAGTTACTTTTTTACTGTTTTAAAGTAAATTATTTTATTTTGATATTCAAGCTAAAATGGATTACTACTTTCAACTTAATTTAAACGTGATCAATATTTAGAAAAATTTAAGCTGTATCTACCGACATAAAACTTTTCCTTATAAAATATGGTAAAGTGGAAAATATTATTAAACAATAGATTCTTAAATTGATTTTGTAGTCAACTTGCGATATAATCAGCCGAAATAGCTCAGTAGGGAGAGCGTCAGACTGAAGATCTGAAGGTCCCTGGTTCAAATCCGGGTTTCGGCATCGGTTCAAGATTCGCATTTCTTCTTTACTTCTTTGATCAAATTGTATAAATTAACTGATTTTAAATTGTGAAAGGGGACTAAGTTTTTATTTGATAAAAGCTTAAACCACGTAATCATGAAAACAAAACTTATGTTAATCTTCCTCCTCATTTTCATCATTGAAATTTTCTTAATATTTATAAGCAAAATAATAAGATGGACTGATTTACAAATTCTACAAAAGAGTAAAAGTAATTTATTTCAATTCATGTTTTAGACATGCAGTATAATGTCTGCGTTATCCATCTAAAGACATGCTTAATTATTCATGTATTTCATATATTACAAATATTTAGTACGTAATTATAATCCATGAACACTTATTTTATTTATTTTGAGTATTTATTTTCCAAACACAAGATTAGATAATTGAAAATGTTAGGAAAATTACTTTTAATAAATGAAGTAAAAACCACAGAATAATATGGTTTAAGATGAAGAAGGTAATCCCTTCTACAATTAGCTGTGATGGCCGAGTGGTTAAGGCGTTGGACTTGAAATCCAATGGGAATTCCCCTCGCAGGTTCAAATCCTGCTTGCAGCGAGATAAAGTAACTTGCAGTATTTTTTTTCTATTACTGGTATTTAGTTTTGTTAAAGCCCCTATTATCATTATACTCCACAATGAGAAATATTTTAAATTTGTGTTTGATTATTGTGTATTTTTTCCTCAAATATGTGTATGTATATTGAGTTACATTATTTTAATAATTTATTTATTACAATAAAATAAAATAGAAAGAAAAAGGTTGTGAAAATAATAGTCTAAATGTTAAAAACATAGAAAGCGCGAAGCATTGTTGGTAACACTAATATCTAAGCTAGAATCTGGACTTTTTGACAAAATTTAATTTAAAGATATTTCATTGTAGATGTCATGTTGGTAACTTCTAAACTTTAATTTGTTAATTACATGGGAACGAATAAAATTTTACTTAAAAAAATGTATTGAATATTATAGTTGCAATACAATAGTATTAAAAATATGGAAAAAATGGAAATATTAATTTTTAAGTAGCAAACAGTTTTCTTCCACTTTTTTTTAAGTAGTATTGATTATTGCTTTGGTTTGACATTTATTGAAAAAACAAGATCGTAATAAGACGAAGTGACTGAGTGGTTAAGGTGATGGACTGCTAATCCATTGTGCTCTGCCCACGTGGGTTCGAATCCCATCTTTGTCGAATTCGTTGTTGATTAATGTTCCATTTTTCTTTCAATATTTGTTTAAGGTACTTTTTTACTGTTTTAAAGTAAATTATTCTATTTTGATATTCATGCTAAAGATGGATTACTACTTTCAACTTAATTTAAACGTGATCAATATTTAGAAAAATTTAAGCTGTATGTACCGACATAAAACTTTTCCTTATAAAATATGGTAAAGTGGAAAATATTTTTAAGCATTAGATTCTTAAATTGATTTTGTAGTGAATTTGCGATATAATCAGCCGAAGTAGCTCAGTGGGGAGAGCGTCAGACTGAAGATCTGAAGGTCCCTGGTTCAAATCCGTGTTTCGGCATGGGTTTAAGATTCGCATTTCTTCTTTACTTCTTTGATCAAATTGTTTAAATCAAATGATTTTTAAAGTGTGAAAGGGTGACTAAGTTTTTTATTTCATAAAAGCTTAAACCACGTAATCTTGAAAAACAAAACTTATGTTAATCTTCCTCCTCATTTTCATTATTGAAATTTTCTTAAGATTTATAAACAAAAATAATAAGATGGACTGATTTACAAATTCTGCATAAGAGTAAAAGTCAATTTATTTCAATTCATGTTTTAGACATGTAGTATAATGTCTGCATTATACATCTAAAGACATGCTTAATTATTCATGTATTTCATATATTACAAATCTTTAGTACGTAATTATAATCCATGAACACTTATTTTATTTATTTTGAGTACTGATTTTCCAAACACAAGATTAGATAATTCAAAAATGTTAGGAAAATTACTTTTAATAAATGAAGTAAAAAACCCCAGAATAATATGGTTTAACATGAAGAACAGCAATCTCTTTCACAATGAGCTGTGATGGCCGAGTGGTTAAAGCGTTGGACTTGAAATCCAATGGGGATTCCCAACGTAGGTTCAAAATCTGCTTGCAACGAGATAAAATAACTTGCAGTATTTTTTTTTCTATTACTGGTATTTAGTTTTGTTAAAGGCCCCTATTATCATTATACTCCACAATGAGAAATATTTTAAATTTGTGTTTGATTATTGTTTATTTTTTTCCTCAAATATGTGTATGTATATTGAGTTTCATTATTTTAATATGTGATTTATTACAATAAAATAAAATTAAAGAAAAAGGTTGTGAAATAATAGTCTAAATGTAAAAAACATAGAAAGCGCGAAACATTGTTGGTAACACTAATTTCTAAGCTAGAATCTGGACTTTTGCACAAAATTTGAATTTAAAGATATTTCATTGTAGATGCCATGTTGGTAAGTTCTAAACTTTAATTGGTTAATTACATGCGAACAAATAAAATTTTACTTAAAAAAATGTATTGAATATTATAGTTGCAATACAATAGTATTAAAAATATGGAAAAAATGGAAATATTAATTTTTAAGTAGCAAACAGTTTTCTTCCACTTTTTTTTAAGTAGTATTGATTATTGCTTTTGTTTGACATTTATTGAAAAAACAAGATCGCAATAAGACGAAGTGACTGAATGGTTAAGGTGATGGACTGCTAATCCATTGTGCTCTGCACACGTGAGTTCGAATCCCATCTTTGTCGAATTCGTTGTTGATTAATGTTCCATTTTTCTTTCAATATTTGTTTAAGGTACTTTTTTACTGTTTTAAAGTAAATTATTCTATTTTGATATTCATGCTAAAGATGGATTACTACTTTCAACTTAATTTAAACGTGATCAATATTTAGAAAAATTTAAGCTGTATGTACCGACATAAAACTTTTCCTTATAAAATATGATAAAGTGGAAAATATTTTTAAACAATAGATACTTAAATTGATTTTGTAGTCAACTTGCGATATAATCAGTCGAAATAGCTCAGTGGGGAGAGCGTCAGACTGAAGATCTGAAGGTCCCTGGTTCAAATCCGTGTTTCGGCATGGGTTTAAGATTCGCATTTCTTCTTTACTTCTTTGATCAAATTGTTTAAATCAAATGATTTTTAAAGTGTGAAAGGGTGACTAAGTTTTTTATTTCATAAAAGCTTAAACCACGTAATCTTGAAAAACAAAACTTATGTTAATCTTCCTCCTCATTTTCATTATTGAAATTTTCTTAAGATTTATAAACAAAAATAATAAGATGGACTGATTTACAAATTCTGCATAAGAGTAAAAGTCAATTTATTTCAATTCATGTTTTAGACATGTAGTATAATGTCTGCATTATACATCTAAAGACATGCTTAATTATTCATGTATTTCATATATTACAAATATTTAGTACGTAATTATAATCCATGAACACTTATTTTATTTATTTAGAGTACTGATTTTCCAAACACAAGATTTGATAATTCAAAAATGTTAAGAAAAATACTTTTAATAAATGAAGTAAAAAACCCCCAAAATAATATGGTTTAACATGAAGAACAGCAATCTCTTTCACAATGAACTGTGATGGCCGAGTGGTTAAGGCGTTGGACTTGAAATCAATGGGGATTCCCACGTAGGTTCAAATCCTGCTTGCAGCGAGATAAAATAACTTGCAGTATTTTTTTTCTATTACTGGTATTTAGTTTTGTTAAAGGCCCTATTATCATTATACTCCACAATGAGAAATATTTTAAATTTGTGTTTGATTATTGTTTATTTTTCCTCAAATATGTGTATGTATATTGAGTTACATTATTTTAATAATTTATTTATTACAATAAAATAAAATAGAAAGAAAAAGGTTGTGAAAATAATAGTCTAAATGTTAAAAACATAGAAAGCGAAGCATTGTTGGTAACACTAATATCTAAGCTAGAATCTGGACTTTTGACAAAATTTAATTTAAAGATATTTCATTGTAGATGTCATGTTGGTAACTTCTAAACTTTAATTTGTTAATTACATGGGAACAAATAAAATTTTACTTAAAAATGTATTGAATATTATAGTTACAATACAATAGTATTAAAATATGGAAAAATGGAAATATTAATTTTAAGTAGCAAACAGTTTTCTTCCTTTTTTAAGTAATATTGATTATTGCTTTTGTTTGACATTTATTGAAAAAACAAGATTGCAATAAGACGAAGTGACCGAGTGGTTAAGGTGATGGACTGCTAATCCATTGTGCTCTGCACGTGGGTTCGAATCCCATCTTTGTCGAAATGGTTGTTGATTAATGTTCCATTTTTCTTTCAATATTTGTTTAAGGTACTTTTTTACTGTTTTAAAGTAAATTATTCTATTTTGATATTCATGCTAAAGATGGATTACTACTTTCAACTTAATTTAAACGTGATCAATATTTAGAAAAATTTAAGCTGTATGTACCGACATAAAACTTTTCCTTATAAAATATGGTAAAGTGGAAAATATTTTTAAACAATAGATACTTAAATTGATTTTGTAGTCAACTTGCGATATAATCAGTCGAAATAGCTCAGTGGGGAGAGCGTCAGACTGAAGATCTGAAGGTCCCTGGTTCAAATCCGGGTTTCGGCATCGGTTCAAGATTCGCATTTCTTCTTTACTTCTTTGATCAAATTGTATAAATTAACTGCTTTTTAAATTGTGAAAGGGGGGACTATGTTGTTTATTTGATAAAAATTTACAACCACGTAATTACAAAAAACAATTTATGTTAATCTTCCCTTCATATTCATTATTATATTTTTTTAATATTTATGAACAAAAATAATAAGATGAACTGATTTACAAATTCTACAAAAGAGTAAAAGTAAATGTATTTCAATTCATGTTTTAGACATGCAGTATAATTTCTGCGTCATCCATCTAAAGACATGCTTAATTATTCATGTATTTCATACATTACAAATATTTAGTACGTAATTATAATCCATGAATACTTATTTAATTTATTTTGAGTACTGATTTTCCAAACACAAGATTTGATAATTCAAAAATGTTAGGAAAAATACTTTTAATAAATGAAGTAAAAAACCCCCAGAATAATATGGTTTAAAACAAAGAAGAGCAATCTCGTTCACAATGAGCTGTGATGGCCGAGTGGTTAAAGCGTTGGACTTGAAATCAATGGGGATTCCCACGTAGGTTCAAATCCTGCTTGCAGCGAGATAAAGTAACTTGCAGTATTTTGTTTCTATTACTGGTATTTAGTTTTGTTAAAGCCCCTATTATCATCATACTCCACAATGAGAAATATTTTAAATTTGCGTTTGATTATTGTTTATTTTTTCCTCAAATATGTGTATGTATATTGAGTTACATTATTTTAATAATTTATTTATTACAATAAAATAAATAGAAAGAAAAAAGGTTGTGAAAATAATAGTCTAAATGTTAAAAACATAGAAAGCGCGAAGCATTGTTGGTAACACTAATATCTAAGCTAGAATCTGGACTTTTGACAAAATTTAATTTAAAGATATTTCATTGTAGATGTCATGTTGGTAACTTCTAAACTTTAATTTGTTAATTACATGGGAACGAATAAAATTTTACTTAAAAATTTATTGAATATTATAGTTACAATACAATAGTATTAAAAATATGGAAAAATGGAAATATTAATTTTAAGTAGCAAACAGTTTTTCCACTTTTTAAGTAATATTGGTTATTGCTTTGTTTGACATTTATTGAAAAACAAGATTGCAATAAGACGAAGTGACCGAGTGGTTAAGGTGATGGACTGTTAATCCATTGTGCTCTGCACACGTGGGTTCGAATCCCATCTTTGTCGAAATGGTTGTTGATTAATATTCCATTTTTCTTTTAATATTTGTTTCAGTTACTTTTGTACTGTTTTAAAGTAAATTATTTTATTTTGATATTCAAGCTAAAAATTGATTACTACTTTCAACTTAATTTAAACGTGATCAATATTTAGAAAAATTTAAGCTGTATCTACCGACATAAAACTTTTCCTTATAAAATATGGTAAAGTGGAAAATATTATTAAACAATAGATTCTTAAATTGACTTTGTAGTCAACTTGCGATATAATCAGCCGAAATAGCTCAGTAGGGAGAGCGTCAGACTGAAGATCTGAAGGTCCCTGGTTCAAATCCGGGTTTCGGCATCGGTTCAAGATTCGCATTTCTTCTTTACTTCTTTGATCAAATTGTATAAATTAACTGATTTTTAAATTGTGAAAGGGGGACTAAGTTTTTTATTTGAAAAAAGCTTAAACCACGTAATCATGAAAAACAAAACTTATGTTAATCTTCCTCCTCATTTTCATCATTGAAATTTTCTTAATATTTATAAGCAAAAATAATAAGATGGACTGATTTACAAATTCTACAAAAGAGTAAAAGTAGATTTATTTCAATTCATGTTTTAGACATGCAGTATAATGTCTGCGTTATCCATCTAAAGACATGCTTAATTATTCATGTATTTCATATATTACAAATATTTAGTACGTAATTATAATCCATGAACACTTATTTTATTTATTTTGAGTATTTATTTTCCAAACACAAGATTAGATAATTGAAAATGTTAGGAAAATTACTTTTAATAAATGAAGTAAAAACCACAGAGTAATATGGTTTAACATGAAGAAAAGCAATCTCTTTCACAATGAGCTGCGATGGCCGAGTGGTTAAGGCGTTGGACTTGAAATCCAATGGGGATTCCCACGTAGGTTCAAATCCTGCTTGCAGCGAGATAAAGTAACTTGCAGTATTTTTTGTTTCTATTACTGGTATTTAGTTTTGTTAAAGCCCCCTATTATCATCATACTCCACAATGAGAAATATTTTAAATTTGCGTTTGATTATTGTTTATTTTTTTCCTCAAATATGTGTATGTATATTGAGTTACATTATTTTAATAATTTATTTATTACAATAAAATAAAATAGAAAGAAAAAGGTTGTGAAAATAATAGTCTAAATGTTAAAAACATAGAAAGCGCGAAGCATTGTTGGTAACACTAATATCTTAGCTAGAATCTGGACTTTTTGACAAAATTTAATT